GGTCTTTTACAAATTATCTTTGACTGTTTGAGATTTATGAAAAGGTTTAAAGAGTACTTGGATGACCATCCATGTTCTCACCATAGCTTAAGAAATAAAACATTACAAATAAAGTTTCAGCCAAATAAACAGTTCTTGCCCTTAAGAAGTTCAGTTTAGAGAGATGGAATATGTACAGGGTGCTACAGGAGTAAAAAGAATACCCAATTCAGACAGGGTCCAGGAGAGCCCATCATGAAATAAGAGTAAAGGTTTTCTGGACAGAGAGAGTAGCATACACGTGAACTATACACCATCTTTGGCTCTATAACTGTAGATTACCAATGGCAAAATCTCAGAGCATGCCAGTCTACAAACCAGAGCTGTGCTGTCTGAAACACTCTGTGTTAGGGGGAGTGCGTAGGGGAACACATACAACAGAACATCCAAACAAAAACAGATTGTGCAGAAGACCAGTATGAAATGCATTATTCAGAAGTAATGATAAAACTAATCTACCTTAGAGCAAAGGGTGAAACTGATTAATTTGGATCAAGGGCAAATGAAAATTTGGAGGCTGAATATTCAAATTTTAACAGGGCAACAGATTTATTGTGCTGAAAGGAATGAAGCTCTTGCTATGGATATGTATACATTCAGCTTTAAAACAATAATCTATACTATAGCCACGTTTCAAGAGATGTAGCTTTCTTACTCATGTCAATTGGCTAACACTTCTCATTAAATCTCACTAAGATATACTAGATAGAATAAAAAAGAGATTGTAGCCATTGTGACAATATCACAAGCATTTCTGAAGCATTTCACATTGTTGACCACCTCTGCTTTCTGAATTTCTCATATCTCTTGGTTTCTATGTAACCATATCATGTGGTTATATTCTTTCCTTTATTTACTTTACTGTCTCCTTCACTGAATTCTCTGCTAGGTTTTATCTTCTGGCTATGAATGTACCCAAAAGTATTTGGCGTCTACTCTTCTTTTAAAATACCAACTTCTTCAAAAATGTATGACTTCAACTACTACCTTCACACAAAATAATTTCAAATATTCTGACTGAGATCCTTCTTCTAATTTCAGTTATGTATCATCTTGGATATTCTGCCTCTGACTCAAATAAGTTTAACAGGTCTAAAAACAACGTACACATATACATACACATACTCATGCCCACATAAATACATAAATGCATGCACTTAAAAAAAAAATCAGAGTGCTTTTTTTCCCCCCATCTAAAAACACTCACCCTTCTTGAATTTCCTCCACGATGGGGTCCATCATTGTCTCTTGCCTATCCATTACATTCTAGCTTTTCTCAGTTACAAATCTTATTCAGTCTTCCTTCATGATCCTTCCCACTTGTTTTTTCTTTTCTACCCTCCACCATGACCAACCTAATTTAGGCACTGCTCACCTCAATACTTATAACTGCTTCTAGTCTCTTTTTTCCCTCCAAATCATTCTGAACATTATTATTGATGGACGAAATCTCTCTAAGCATACTTTAAACTTGTCACTCTTTTCCTCAAAAGCTTTTTAAAAAGGGTGAATAATAATGCCAAATATTTCAGCTATTTAAGAACCTAAAAATTTGGTTTCAGTGTGCCTGCCCAATCTATCTTCTTCAATATTTAAGTCTATTCTAAAAAAAACCAAAACTCTCTACTCAGATTTTGCCCTCAAGCTCTAGAGAAAACAGTGAGCAATCTGGTTTCTACTCAGATCATGCTGAAATTATTTTTGTAGTTTCCCAAATGCAAAGCAAATATTTAAGCTCTTCATTTTACCTGACTTCACCATGCCATACACAATTTGGTCTTACCTTTTATCATGCCCTACCAGCTACCCCTACAGACTTTAAGCTCAAGTCACAGCAAACTACTAGACTTTCTCTAACACACTTTACTATTTCAGAGTTTGGGCTTCTACAAATGCTATTCCTTGGCTCTAGAATGTCTTTCTCCAAACTGTTCTGCACTGTTTATATCTCAGATGAAACATCATCTCTTCTGTGGAATTCCCCCCAACTCCCACAAACATCTTTGCTCCCAATGCACTTGTATACAGTTCCCTAACAGGATTCATAACACTGTATTGTAATTTTTGTTTATATGTCTTGATATCCTGAGAATCTAACATACTCTGAAGCACATAGTGGACAATTAAGAGAGGGTTTTAAAAGACCTTCTGGAATGGCCATATTATTCTAGTTAACTGTCACTCAAGTATACTGTATGAAGAGATAGTATATCTACCATCCTTAGGAGCTCAGATTCTGAAGCCAGGCTGTCTAGGTATAAATTCTGGATCTACCACTTAATAGCCGTGTGGCACTGGGAGAGTTAATTAAGCTCTCTATGCCTGGGTTTCCTTCTTTATAAAAGGAGAATAGTAAGATCTACTTCATAAGGTTATGAAGATTAAATGAATTAATATAAGCAGAGTGTTCAAAACAGTGACTGACAGAAAATAAGCATTATACATATATTGACTATTATAATTACTATACCTTGATTATTTCTGACCCTTTCCACATATGCCTCTATTGAAATGGGCTCCTTTCATTTTTCCCTTTATCCAAATCTTACCCAGGTTTCAAGGCTGACCTCTGTTAAATCCTTTCATCCTTTCAACTCTTAAATGGTTACTCCCTAATTTAAATACCTATAGCATCTTCTGTATCACTCTGCATATAATGAAAACTGCCTTGCATCCTTGTCATTTTTCACAAAATGTCTACCCAATTTCTGTAAACTCTTTGAAGGTCATAAGGACGACTCATGCATCTTTGTCCGTTCCTACAGCAAGTACTAAGTGCTTAGTGTTTGTTATGTAAAATAATAAAGCTCAGTAGAAACTTCAACTCTGATCAAAATGTCTCTGCAATCAAAGAAATGGAGAAGACTGTGAGAACATTCCATGCTTCTCTAAGAGCCAAGCTGCAAATGTATTAGCGCCAGGGAATTCTGACTCCCATTAAAATAAGCTGTTCTGAAATAGCTTCTGGGAGAAAAAAACCCTCCCTACAGAAGAGTTTTGGGGAGTTCTTAAGTTCCCAAACCAAATTGTAGCAGTGGATCCTCTATGAGAAATGTGTTAACATGACACAGTGACTGATTGAGAGCACAGGATTTGCAATTACGTAGATCTAGGTTTCACAGGGACCCTGAGCTTCAGTTTCCTTCTCTATAAAGTGGGTGTTGTAACACCTACTTCACAGGTATATGATAATCGACATCCACCCTAACGTTTAACTGAAATGCAAATTCCCTTGAAAAAATTTTAAATAAACTGAAAACACGGCAATTCATAAATAACTGAACACATTTTTCATTACCTAAGAAAATGTATTAAATTAGCTGTGTATTTATAATATTCTAAATTACCTATGAGAAAATTAAACAAGTGTTGTCAATAATATGGAATTGGGATGAAAGAAAAGTTGTACTACAAAATTTATCCTCCCTTTCTGACACTTTCTCCATCCTGTAAATTTTTTCTTCCACTTGTGATTAAAAACAAGTGTTCAAAATTGTCCCCAAAGAGAAATATTTGGAAAGCACTATTTAACTTAATAGCAAGTTGGTTCTAACATTGTAGTATTCCAGCTTACAGTTAAAAAATACTTCCAAATAGGAATTAACATGAATTTAAGAAATTATGATAATGGCGAATAGCTCATACGATGATCTGAGTAATTTCAAATTAAGAGTTGTTCCAACTTGAAGCTGGCAGTCACACAGTCTAAAGGGTTTGTTTACAGCACTGACTAAACCAAACACTCCAATCTTTTAGAATATTCATCCTGGCATTCTAACAAATAATTATTTTAAAGCAGTATAATCGCTGAAATGCCCAATACTACACAAATTACACCGAAATGGGTTTCCTTCTGAAGAAAAAAAGAAAAGAACAAAAGTGGCAGGTCTTATTTTTAAGCTGTGATATTTTTTTCAGTTTGAAAAAATACTGAAAAACAGAACCTTGCTACTTGGAATCATCTTTAAACTTGGGGGAGCGGGTGAGAGAATTTAAAAAGACAGAATTCGGCGCCTTTACGATACAGTGGTATGCGGGGTTCATTAGGGCCAGGCCATGTAAGCGATCAAAAGAAGAAAAGAGACATTAGCTTGGAAATTATATAAGTATGGTGTAACTTTCAGCAACGTTGAAACGTTACCATTTAAGTATGAAAAGATGGCTTTGGGGAAAGAAAATTCACCTCCGAGTTGAAAATGAAGGGTCAAGTGCGGGGCTAGTGGAATTTAAGGGGAGATGGAAAGAGAACTGGGGAAAAAGTGGGGATGTGATAACCAAAAAGGGGTATGGTTCAGAAGGGCGTGTGTGTGTGTGTGTGTGTGTGTGTGTGGTGTTGGAAGTGAGGCTTGTACTTAAATCTACGCGATAAAGTTGTGGAGATCAAATGCGGAGGTGTGGGAACAGGGAGAGGAAGAAATGTGGGGATTTCCAGGCTGGGATAACAAGAAGTTTGGGGCGCGCGCTGTCGGGGCGCCCCTCTCCCGGAGAAGGGTGGCCCCCTCGAGTGCCAGGTCCCCTGGCCGCCCCGACGCAGCCCTCCCCCTCCCGTACACAGCCCTTCAACTCGACCACGGCCCCTCCTCACCTAAAGGCCGCGGTGACTCGCTTCTCCGCGTGTCCGCAGTGCACGTCCCCCTCGGCGCCAGGCTGGGCCGGGCCCTTCGGCCGGCAGCCGCGGGCCCGAGCTCAGCTGCGTCCGTGCGTTCCCAACGGGGCTCCGCGGGCCTGTAGGCTCCTCGCCCTGGCCTCGGGTCACTCCCGGCTCCTTCCCGCAGACGCGGCACGCGGCCCTCCTCCCGCGGCGGGGCGACGCGCCCCCTGACCCCGCCCGCGGCGCTCCGTAACGCCCCGCCCCCGGACTTGGGATCTGTAAGCTGATTGGCGCCTGCGAGACCCGACGCGCGCCGGCATTGGCTCAGCGGCTGCCCGAAGGCGACGGGGAGGCCCTCCGAGCGGCTGCGATTCCCGTAACGCGGTTGCCGGCGTCCCGGATTCGGGTCGCTGCGTCCGCGTCGTCTCTCCCAGATGAGATCGAAGGATTCTCCCCGCCTCCCCTCTGCTGGCGGAAGGAGCAGAATGTTCCATTTTTCCGTGGAAAAACGGGGTCGTGAACTGAAGTCCGGGTGCTGCCCGCGTCTGCCGTCCTCCCTTCTTGCCGTGGCCTCTTCGGCCTCCCTTCGAGGCCTTCCCCAGGGTACTCAGAGCCGCGAGGGACAGCCGGGAGTCCTTGGGGACCGGTGAGGCGTGGGAGCTCCTGCGGGAAAGTGAAGGGCTCGGTGGCCATGACTCCACACGAGATTACCGCAGATTGTGGCGGCTTCGGTCCAAGTTTTATGTAAACGAACCTTGCCACGATATATATTTTTAAGTTAGTAAATGAGTTTGGGTGTGATTGATCAATGAACCCCAGAGTTGGTGACATGCCAAGAAACCAGTTTTTCTTGCGGTTTGTACCTCCCAATCTGTGACAAAAATACGGAGTAAAAAGCAATTTCGTTAAAACCCCTTCTTCCCCGCTCGTGGTCCGGAAAATGAACCTTCAGGCTCACTTTGATTCAGTTTTTTTCCGAAGCAAGATGAGAAGCTTAGAAGATAAGCGTGTGTGTGTGTGTGTGTGTGTGTGTGTGTGTAGAAACACGCCCAAGGCCAGAACCTTTTGTGGAAGAATGGCAGACTATATAGAAGGGCAATAATGGTTTAATGGACCTGAACAAATTATACCCCTAAGTTAACAATTATAAGGTTCTTCATTATATTGGGGACAGATAGAGTAAAGCACAGACCAAATTATCATCTCTTAGTTGATCAGATAATTTTTAAAAGGCACAGAAAAGTGGGCCTGCTGCGTGCCTAGTGCTAAGGGAGTCCCAGGCAAGCTTGGGTTTGGCGCTGCAGGAGAGACAAAGCTCCACTGTGTTCCACTCTTGCTGCTCCCTGTCATCCTGTTATCTAACCTGTAGAGAGTGACTGGATTGTATTGTAGCTCTGCCATTTATGGAGGTGTTTAAAACAAACTTATAAAATATTAAATTGGGGCTTCCCTTGTGGCGCAGTGGTTGAGAGTCCGCCTGCCGATGCAGGGGACACGGGTTCGTGCCCCGGTCCGGGAAGATCCCACATGCCGCGGAGCGGCTGGGCCCGTGAGCCATGGCCGCTGAGCCTGCGCGTCCGGAGCCTGTGCGCCACAACGGGAGAGGCCGCAACAGTGAGAGGCCCGCGTACCGCAAAAAAAAAAAAAAGTTAAATTGGGGAGGAGATAAATTAGGAGTTTGGGATTAACATATACACACTACTACCTGTATATACAATAGATAACCAACAAAGACCTACTGTATAGCACAGGGAACTATACTCAGTATTTTGTAATAACCTATAAATGAAAATATCTGAAATACATATATAGCTGAATCACTTTGCTGTACACCTGAAACACAACATTGTAAATCAACTATACTTTGAAAAATAAAAATAAAAAAAGTTATTAAATTAAAAGTTTATTTAGATCTATTGGACATTTATTTAGGGCCAACGTGTAGAGGTTAAATGTACCTTCTGTTTCCAAATTGCCTGGGTTTGAATCCTGGTACTGCTACTTTCCATGTCTATGATCTTGGGCAGGTCTTCTCAGATTTTTCATCAACCAAATGAGAATAATGGTACCAACCTAAAAGGATTGCTTTGAGGGTTAAATGAATTAAAATACATGAAGTGTTTGGCACTTCATAGTAGGTGCTCCATAAATGTCAGCTGTTACCATTATTGAATGTGCTTTCTTGACCTTTTCGTATTGCAGTGTATATTGAAAATGATGATTCTTCTCTGGCATAGGGAGAAGATAGAGGGGAACAATATCTCACAGCACACTAGCCTGCCTTGTGCACTGGTCAGGAAAGCAAAGGACTGAGTTAGTTCTTTCGTGGATATCTTTGCATTGGCTAACACTAATCCATAAGAAACTCACATTTTGTGGAGAATGGTTAAAGTCCTAGGTTAAAACTAAGAAACAAGGGCTTCGCTGGTGGTGCAGTGGTTAAGAATCTGCCTGCCAGTGCAGGGGACATGAGTTCAAGCCCTGGTCCGGGAAGATCCCACATGCCGTGGAACAACAAAGTCCGTGCGCCACAACTACTGAGCCTGTGCTCTAGAGCCTACAAGCCACAACTACTGAGCATACCTGCCACAACTACTGAAGCCTGCGCACCTAGAGCCTGTGCTCTGCAACAAGAGAAGCCACCCAGTGAGAAGTCCGCGCACCACAATGAAGAGTAGCCCCTGCTCGCTGCAACTAGAGAAAGGCTGCGCGCAGCAACGAAGACCCAACGCAGCCAAAAATAAATAAATAAATTTATAAAAAAACCAATGAATCAATATTGGAGAAAGATTTTTCAGGACAGCAAGAGCCCATCTCTCCTTGGCTGGAATTAGATGACTCTCCAGATACCTCTGTAGGGTACTGGTCCTGAAACAACCACTTTCAGGATAAGGATTTGTCATTAGCATGCCCTATCAAAATGCAAAGATAAGTGGGGAAAAGTGACATATCAATTGAGAACTTTCCATTTGTGCTTTGGGACTTATTTGGGATTTTAGATGTGTCAGCAGCAGAGGGGGAACCTGTACAGTGAGAGGGCAAAAAGAGGACACTGAGGTTACTCAAGTGTAAATGAACAAAGCTAGGGGAAAATGCTATAGAACAAAGGTGATAAATGTCGAAGACAAACTCTGCCTGCCTTGCTATTTGCATAAATCTGACCCTGACCAGGATGGCCATTGACTTCCTTGCCTGTGCCCAGTTGTGTTTCTGAAACTCTTTGTCAGCCTTGAATTATCCTCCTGTCCTGCATTAACCTAATGATTTCAGCATCCATGATAACAACTCAGCACGCTGACCTCACAATTTCTCATCCTTCTCTTTTTCAGTCATCTTCAACTTCACTCATATCAGGAACCCACAGATGTAGCCACACCTTGAAGCCAGTCATCAGATGAAATTACTCCATCTGCAAAATTTTCGCTTGTGAGTTTCCCTCTCTACCCACAGCCACCTACCCTCTACCTCTCTTACTTACTCCCACTGAGTCTGTAGTTTGTCCTCAGTGTGACCTCCAATCTTTGTTCTCCTAGTTTATCAGTTTTTTCCCACCTTCTTTTATCTTCCTGAACTCTGAGAACCCTTTTATCAACCATTTTAGCTGCACTCTCACTAGTGTCTTTAATTCCCTTGACCTTCAGCCCTGTTTACCTTCTCAATGTTATTTCCTAACTATTTCCCTTTTTCTTGAACTAGCAACTCTGTCCCAACATCTATTCTTAGTGCAGAACCTTGTTTCATTATTCCCTGGAAAAACCAAGACAATCATTTGTGAATATCTTCTTTTCCTCTAAGAGGAAGAACAATCTTATTCTTTTAAAAGATTTCCTCCTAAGTTCTTGGTCCTGCCTTTACCAGGTTCAGTCCCCTAGTTTTATATTTTTCATTATTAGCATAAAATACCTTAGAAAATTTAAAGAATTAAATATTAACTCAAAGAGTTGGGGACAGCTTTTCTGTATGTGTTAAAATCTTTGTAACCTAATAACATCTAATTCACTGAACAGAATTAAAAGTAATTAATTCAATATATGTTTCAAAAAAATGAAGCAGCTTAAGGCACATCATAAACCACTTAATAAGTTTGGGGGCTTCCCTGGTGGCGCAGTGGTTGGGAGTCCGCCTGCCGATGCAGGGGACACGGGTTCGTGCCCCGGTCCGGGAAGATCCCACATGCCGCGGAGCGGCTGGGCCCGTGAGCTGTGGCCACTGAGCCTGCGCGTCCGGAGCCTGTGGTCCGCAACGGGAGAGGCCACAACAGTGAGAGGCCCGTGTACCGCAAAAAAAAAAAAGTTTGGAATGAAATATGAACTTAAATCAAGTTGTAACCAAATTTCCAAGCTAGAAAACAGGAAAAATTCATTTCATAGCAACAAAACTTAGCAACATTATGACTCCGTTTCGAAAATACTACTGAATACAAAACTACAGTAATCAAAAACATTGTGGTATTGGCACAAAAACAGACATGGATAACTGGAACAGAATAGCCCAGAAATAAATCCACACACCTATGGTCAATCTTCCACAAAGGAAGCAAAAATATACAATGGAGTAAAGTTTCTGCTAACTTCTCAATTTTAAAATGATAGTCATAAAACTATGATATTATAAGTCTGAATAATGGTCACCAATAACTATAAGTGGCCTTCCAATAACTAGAAGGGAGGAGGAGGGGCTTTTTGAGATTCTGGTCATGTTCTGGTTCTTGATCTAGATGCAAGTTATGTGGCTGTGTTCAGCTTGTGAAAAATTTTCAAGTTGTACTCTTTTAGTATACTCATTTTTCTGAATATATATTATTCTTCAGTAATATTTTTATTTAAGTCTTTAAGCCATTTTGAGTTTATTTTTGTGTATGGTGTGAGGCTGTGTTCTGACTTCATTGCTTTACATGCGGCTGTCCAACTTTCCCAACACCACTTGTGGAAAAGACTGTCTTTACTCCAAAGCAGGGAATCCAGTCAAGCTGTACTTAGAATCCTGACCCACAGAAACTGAGATAAATGTGTGTTGTTTTAAGATGCTAAGTTATGCAGCACAGAAGACTAATACAGCAGGCAAAAGTTCAAAGCTATCCATGTAAATGTTCATAATGAATGTTATTTTTACATATTCAAATCAAGCAGTTCTTAAGTCAATAAGAAGATCTGTATCTGGTGAAGGAAATTATATCAAACAGGAGGCTGCTGTGGTGTCCTGAAGACCCAGGAATTAAGGGGATCTCAACCATTCCAATTTATTCAGTTTATTTTTTTTCCATAAACATTTATTGAGTATCAGCTATGTGCCAGACACTGAGATTTGGATCTAAACAAGACTCATGTGTTGTTCTTCCCTCAAAGTCTAATGAGAGAAAGAGAGAGAGAAATAAACCAGCAATTATAGTAAAGTCATAGAGCATTCTATGTAAGAGCATTCTGGGAGTGCTCCTGCATGAATACTTCAGAAACTGGGGATTGTAAGAACTCTGTGCTTATCTCTACCTCCAATCTTACATCCTCGGACCTTGTGGTGGATTAAAGATGGCCACAGGGCTTCCCTGGTGGCGCAGTGGTTGAGAGTCCGCCTGCCGATGCAGGGGACACGGGTTCGTGCCCCGGTCTGGGAAGATCCCACATGCCGTGGAGTGGCTGGGCCTGTGAGCCATGGCCGCTGAGCCTGCGCATCCGGAGCCTGTGGTCCGCAACGGGAGAGGCCACAACAGTGAGAGGCCCGCGTACCGAAAAAATAAATAAATAAATAAATAAAGATGGCCACAAATTCTTTAATACTCCTCTGTGGAAGATGAGGTCTATTTCCCCTACTCTTTAACTTGGGTAGGCTTGAGTGCTGCACTGATTATTAAATAGAGTACAGAAAAAGTGACACTATGCCAGTTGAGGGGGCTAGCCCTTAAGAGGAGCTTTTGCCTTGGTCTCTAGAAGTCCTGAGCTATCGTGTAAGAAGTCCTACTACCTTGATAGACCATGTGAGAGGGCTGAGGTGACATGGAGAGGGACAGTGGCCCAGCTGTCCCGGCACCAGGCGTGTAAATAAAGCCATCTTAAAACTTCCAGACTGTATCAGCTGCCAGGTGAATACTACTGTGATGCCAATCAGGGCTACAGAGAGCAGAAGAATTTCCTTGCTGAGCCCTGCTCAAATTCCTGACCCATGAAATTGTGAGATACAGTAAAATGTTTGTTGTTTTAAGTCACTGAGTTTTGTTAAGGAGCAATAAATAACCAGAATGAAACCCTCAAATCCGTCATGCACAATGCTGAAAATCTGACTATCTTATTCTTTGAAGGTCTGTCAATGCCTTCCTATCACCTTAGCCCATTTTGTATGTCATAAAAATCCTCCTTCACCTGACCTCTACTCACTTCTCCAGCCTTATCTCTAATATAGCCTCTAACTCCTGGCTGTCACATTACCGATTTGCTAATGGTTCCTGGGCCAGCCTCCAGTATACTGTTTCCTGCTTCCATGCCAAAGAAAGAGCTTATGCTGTTTCCTTGGCCTATCATCGCCTTCTTCATTTTCTTCATTTAACTTGATCACCTTTCCTCAGTGTCTTAGGGGTTATGTCCTCCTTCCAGAAGTCTTTTCTGACTTCTCGCTGCTCTAGGCCCTGAGAAACTCACAGCAAAAGAATGCAAAAGAGGGACTTTCCTGGCGGTGCAGTGGTTAAGAATCCACCTGCCAATGCACGGGACACGAGTTCGAGCCCTGGCCTGGGAAGATCCCACATGCCACGGAGCAACTAAGCCCGTGCACCACAACTACTGAGCCTGCACTCTAGAGCCCATGAGCCACAGCTACTGAGCCTGCGTGCTGCAACTACTGAAGCCCACGTGCCTAGAGCCCATGCTCCGCAACAGGAGAAGCCACCGCAATGAAAAGCCCGCGAACCTCAACGCAGAGTAGCCCCCTCTCGCTGCAAGTAGAGAAAGCCCATATGCAGCAACGAAGACCCAATGCAGCCAAAAATTAATAAATTAATTAATTTAAAAAAATGAATGCAAATGATTCCAGGTGATCTCCTCTACTTCCTTTTTTCCAGAGTGAGCTAACTTCTGGGTCATTAGGAGAGGGCTTCTGTCCTCTGTCTTGACATGCCCTGTCTGTTGAGATGAACAATAGCCTTATGTGGCTCTTAGGTGTCATCACTGCCACATTAGGCACCTATGGAGATGTCTTTGGCCCACCTGGACTTGATATACATTCCATTCTACTTCCCACTTTCACGACTCATTGTCTTGACTATGTAGCCTCTTGCTCTTCTCTTTGCCTATGCCTCTCTGGGGCTGCTAGAGATTCAGAGGAGCTGCCTCAGGCTTTCCTTACCTATGGCACTCTATGTGGCCATCTTTAACTTACTACTGTCACGATATTGTGGGCTAAGAAACATCTGCTAGGCTGCTGCCTCCCAGGATTTCACATGGTAACAGATCCCCAACATCATCATGAGCCTTCATCATCTTTCCCCACCTTAGATCTAACCTCAAGGTAAGGGGCATGGTGGAGGACCTTTTCTTACAGCTTCAGTACCTCAAGTTCTCTTGCTTACCCTCATTTGTCCCCTTTTGTGCTCCTCAACTTGGAAAGTCTCTATCTAGTCTGCAGGTGGGGGTGGGTGGGAGGTTGATGTTAGCAGAAGGGACAATTAAAACTGGTCAGCAAACACTCTTCCCAAATCTCTGTCGTATACCTGGACCAAGGCTTCTGAACTTGGAAGAGTTTGACACCTTTATTCTCTGCTAATGATGTGCTAATTTTTCTAAAGCAATAGGGGAAAGTTAGTAAATAGGGGAATGCAGAGAGAAAAAGCATAATTTGGAGTGAATACTAAAATATCTTGATATACCATAATAAAGTTTTTGCGCTTCCAAATCTATGCTCCCTCTTCTCAGATTGGCCAAGACAGTCATAGGTAAGAAACCCCAAATTGGAATGAAGAGTGTCTACTTCTTTAGTCGGATTTCTGCCATGTGGGTAGTGAGAAGGGAGAGATCAACTAGATGAAAACTTGCTTTCAAGTACCTGGGGCCAGAGCTTAGAACTGGATATTTTCCCAGGGGTTGATTGACTTGGGGGCTGAGCCTCATAGGTCATGTAGAAAATTTCCCAGTGACATTCAAGGTAGCCCACACTCTCTATTGTGGTAAATAAAGGGAAAAACTAAAAAAGCTACCTGGCACTGAACTTCTTTTGGTGGCTAGCTCAGTTCTGCGTTGTGTAGCTGTGGGAGGGAAGGTCACCGCTACATGTCTCTCCCGCTTTGGCTATTTCTTCATGCCTTCCTTTCTCCTACACCCTCTTACCTCTTAACATCATTATCGTGGATGTTTTTCCATATACAGCCTTTTTCTGCATGCATGAACACAGAACAAGAAATGAAGCAATGAGCAATAGCTCCCGTGTGTTTACCTGTAATGGTAGGAGGTGGGAAGGAAGCTGAGTATGTCTTTAAACCTCTCTAGCGTCTAGCTGCAGATGGGCTAAAGAACCCAACCTCAAATGCAGAAAACTATTCAAAACCATTTAGTCTGTGATTTTGATTAAAAAAAAAAAAGATAAAATGTTTTTTCTAGGTAGGAATACATTGTGCTGCTTTCTCTAACTGCTCAGAGACAAATTTTTGATGCCTGAATAACAAGGGTAGTCATAACAGCAACCATTTTCTTGAGTGTAGCTTTGTGACAGGAACTCACTGTATTAGGTATTTTATATCCCAATTAATCCTTGCAATGTGGAAAGTGTTGTCATTCCCATTTTATATATGGGGAAGCAAAAGCTCTGAGGGTTTAAACAACTGGCTGAGGTCACACAGCTAGAAATCTGTTCATGGGGACTGAAACCTAAGTCTTTATTGCTGAAAGTGATATTCTTTAATGATGCTACATTGTCACCTCACCACATGTCTCACAAATGCCTCTAATGATTTTCATTATTTTGTGCTTATCAAAATGTAATGAAAGAGGCTTTGGAGAAAATTCTTTACTACCCACAAAGCTTTGTCATGTTGTTCCCTCTAAATCAGGGCTGTCATGGTGGTAATTTCTATGAGTAAGGATTACTATGTGTGAAAAATCTGGGACTTGAATCCTGAGACTATGCTCTTAAACACTCTGAAAACAGCTATTTATAAATTATAGTGTATAAGGTTATTTTTATAATTTAAAATATGTACAGTCAGTCTCAATTTCTGTATCAGCTAGGGCTCCTTATGCTAAGTGACAGAATAACCCAATACTACTTCTGAGAAGTCCAGAGGCTCCAGGAAAACTTTGATCCAATAACTCAAATGATGCCACTAAGGATGTGTCTTCTCTCTGTCTCTCTACTGTGTTTCCACAGTATGGCTGGAGCCTTGGGCTCTACTCAGTGGTCACCTGGGTCATTACCATGTTTCCATTCCGTGGTGACAAAATACCTGCAGAAGTTTGAAACTTAACATTACCACACCATTTTAATAGGGGAAAAGTGGAAGCTTGCCTTTCCCCAAAGCTCTAGCAAACATTTCTTCATGTCTCATTGGCTCTAATTAGGTTACATGTCCACACACAAACCATGGCAAAGGGAATGAGCTAAGCTGATTAGCTTCAGTCCATTGGGTCCCACCTCTGTGGTTCACACCAGACACATGTCTGAGAATGAGAGGGTGGTTCCCTAAAGCAAATACAGGGAATTATTTCATGGAGGGAGAATGCTGGGCAGGAAATGGCAGGTGTCCATGGCACCCACGCTCCTACGGTCTAGAAGTATTCATATTTTCTAAGAATATTTTTTACTTGCATATACTTTTTGTTTTGTTTCTTCATCTACCATTATGGCGTAAGCAATTTCCCATGTTGTTAAAAGCTCATTTTACTAACTACACTCATCATGCTTTTATTAGCCCAGTGAAATCTTCAAATAGAGTCCATCGATATAGATACTGACAGTAGACGTAGCTGGAGGGTATGGTAACTTCAAATTAGCCAGGGTATTGTCTCAGAAGGAGGCAGCTGCCTGACTGCTCCCAACTACTCTTGCTTCTTCTACAGCTAAGCCTCAAGCCCCTCTCTGCATGGCTTTTGGGGTTTGGTTTGTGAGGGGAGAGGGTGAGAAGAGTGCAGGCTCAACCAGTATTTGGCCTACTTTACCCTATCACCACCATCCCCCAACAGAAAAACTGTAGACACCAACACATACTCCTTCATGACCTGAGAAACTTTATAGCTTGGGTAAAAAGACCAAACAGTGGGAAGAAATTAGTTAGAATTATGGCACATTATGGGTGGAAGGAGCTGCCATTGTATGACTTTGAAAACCTTCATCGTGGTCCTGGCATCAATCTCTGAAGATATACAATATCGCCTCTGTGTGAGGTGTTTTTCATTTTTGGTTGGAATTTTCACTTGTAAGAGGGCCAATTTCGCTAGGATTTGGCCAGAATATTTTAGATCTTGAGTTTGTGGGTCCAAACTCATTTGTGCTTTTTCTAAATAGAATAGTTAGGTTGAATCTGTGGATTAACAGTCAACATTGTGCCAAGCAAAATATTTTCTTCTTTGAGGCAAGTAATGAGTTCCAATATTCTTCCTGAGCCTTTCACACATAAGGAAACAGGTCACATCATTAAAACTGCCTGGGGGGAAATTATATGATAGCATTTATAAAGCTAACATTCTAGGAGAGGGAACCATACAAATACAGAAAATTATTAATTGCTATTTTGTGCCCTTAGATGACTTGACGTTTTGTGTGTTAGTCTCTAAGTGAAGTTCACAGTGATCACATTATGTGTGAGGGTGCAAGGCACTGGCCAAGGGGTAGGTAGCTGTTGGCTCTGATTTCTGTTCTGCTGGGCCTTGATGGAAGCAACCAGTTAGGTGAATAGAGGCAGGCACACCTTTTACATGATGTGAAATTGGTAATGATTTGGTGTTTATGATTATGGGTCTGAGAAGAGTCACTGGAGAGGAGACAGAAGACCAGATAACTCTACCACTTCTCAGCTCTAGTAACTTTAGGCGGGTTACTTGTCTCACCTGAACCTCCATTTCCTCATCTGTAAAATGGAAATATAATCTATTTCAACAAGTTATTAGGGGAACTTCCCTGGTGGTCCAGTGGCTAAGAATCCATGCTCCCAATGCAGGGGGCCCGGGTCAGGGAACTAGATCCCACATGCCGCAACTAAGAGTTTGCATGCTGCAACTAAAAGATCCCGCACACGGCAACGAAGACACTGCGTGCCGCAACTAAGACCCGGCGCAGCCAAATAAATAAATAAATATTAAAAATGAAAACAAAAACAAGTTATTATGACCATTATGAAGAACAGTATAGAGGTTCCTTAAAAAACAAAAAATAGAACTACCATATGATCCAGCAATCCCACTCCTGGGCATATATCCTGAGAAAACCATAGTTCAAAAAGATACAGGCACCCCAGTGTTCACTACAGCACTATTTACAATAGCCAAGACATGGAAGCAACCTAAGTGTCCATCGACAGATGAATGGATAAAGAAGATGTGGTACATATATACAATGGAATTTTACTCAGCCATAAAAAAAATGAAATAATGCCATTTCCAGCAACATGGATGGATCTAGAGATTATCATACTAAGTGAAGTAAGTCAGATGAGAAAGACAAATATCATATATCACTTATATGTGGAATCTAATAAAAAAATGATACAAATGGACTTATTTACAAAACAGAAACCGACTCACAGATCTCGAAATCAAACTTTTGGTTAC